AGATACCACTTCATACCCACTCAAAAACAACAAACAAACTCACTGTTGCTGAGTGGGATCCAACTCATAGCGACCCCTCCTTGGGTTTCCAAAGCAGTATCACTATGGAAGTAGATTGCCCAACCTTCCTTCCGAGGAACAGCTGGTGGGTTTTAACCACCAGCCTTCTGGTTAGCACATAGTGCACAGTGCTTCATACACTATGCTACCAGAGCTCCCTCATACCTACTAGGATGACTAAAATGAAAAAAGACAATAACAAGTGTCAGTAAAAATGTGAAGAAACTGAAACCCTCATACATTGCTGGTGGGAATGTAAAATGGTACAGCTGCTTTGAGAAATAGCTTAGCAGTTCCTCAAAATGTTACACAGGGAGTTACCATACCCTACTCCTAGGTATATACCCAAGAGTACTGAAAACATGTCCACACAAATACTTGCACTTGATATTCACAGCAGTATTATTCATAACAGCCAAAAAGCTGAAACAACTCAAACATGCACCAATGAATTAATGAAGAAACAAACTGTCATATATTCACACAATGGGATATTATTCCAGCATGAAAAGGAATAGAATACTGATATATGCTACAACACTGATAGATAAACCGTGACAACATTATGCTAAGCGAAAGCAGCCAGACACAAAAGGCCATGTATTTTATTTTTCCATTTGTATGAATTGTCTGGAATAGGCAAATACATAGAAACAAAAAGGACCTGGAGAGAGGAGGGAAAGGGAGTGACTGCTAATGGGTATGAGGTTTCTTTGGGGGATGATGAAAAAGCTCCAAAATTAGATAGTGGTGATGGTTGCACAACTCTGTGAATGTTTTAAAAATTAGTGAACTCTACAATTTTAAAAAGTGAAATTTTAGTATGTGAATTATGTCTCAGTAAAGCTGTTGTTAGAAAAAAAAAATCACAATGCCTTCCCACACAACACCTAGTAGAATGCATAAAATCAAAAAGATTAGAAACAAACACCCGTGTTGGCAAGGATATAGAACAATACATTGATCAGAGTATAAAACAGTACAATTATACTGGAGAACTGTTTGGTAGTTTTTTGTTTTTGTTTTTTTAATAAAGCTTAATAGGCATCTACCCATGATCCATCAATTCAACTTCTAGTTACTTAATCAACAGAAGAGGAAGTTTATGACCACAAGACTTATACAGGACTGTTCATAACACTTTATGCAGAACAGCCAAGAAATGGAATCCATCCGAATGTCCATGAACAGAAGAATGGATAAACAAATTGTGATGTATTTACACAATGGAATAGCACTCAGCAATTAAAAACAAACTGATGCAGCAACAGGGATGAATCTCAAAATTAATGTTTCTTAATCTCAAATAAGTAATTTCTCAATCTCAAAATAAATATTTCTACTGAAATATTTATGGGAGAAGTGATAAGACTTCTGAGTTTTGTTTTAAATACTCCAGAACAAAAAAAATAAAGGGAGGAGGGTTGTCAAGTAAAACAAGATTGGCATAATGTTGATAAATGTTGAACCTGGGGTTCATACCATGCTCTCTGATTTTTGTGTATGTTTGGAAACTCCCAAAAATAAAAGTTTAAATAAATGAATGCTTATTTCTTACTGTAATTCTGTGGCACTAGTTCCGGGCTCTTAGGAGTTTTCAACTTGTAGGAGACATCTCCAATATTAATCGTATCACCTATAAAGAGAATAAGAATACACAACCATTATAAGAGATACATAAAAAAAAACCCACACACTGTGCTCTTGGGCATAGTGGATAAGGCATTTGGCTGCTAACCAGAAGGTCAGCAGCTCAAACCCACCAGAGGCTCTCTGGAGGAAGATGAGGCAAACTACGCCTGTAAAGATTTACAGCCTTGGAAACCCAATGGGGTTGCTATACATCAGAATCAATTCCATGGCACTGGGTTTTGCTTTTTTGGTGCCTTTCCCAGCAATGATTCTCCTGATCTTCAGAGAGGGATCTGTGTTGTCAGTCACCATCAAGCAATCAAGTGAGGTCCAACTCCCGGCAACCCCATGTGTACAGAGTAGAACTGCTCCATAAGGTTATCAAGACTGTGACCTCTCAGAAGCAGATCTCCAGGCCTGTCTTCTGAGGTACCTCTGAGTGGGTTCAAAACACCAACCTTTTAGCTAATAGTCGAGCACTTAACCGTCTATACCACTCAGGGGCTTCCTACAAGGATTACGAGGATAAAAATCAAATATCTACTTTCACTACTCTGTCACTTCTATTCTGACAGCGGCTGCACATGCAGCACTTCTTCCTCTGACCCGAACCACGTGGCGCTGGATCAGAGCTCGCACATTAGAGGGTGTGGCCTCCAGACTGCTGTGTCTGCCCAAGACCCCTGGCAGCAGCCACAAGCTTTGGAGCCCTCACAACACCCTCACTTCTGACCTGGTAGCTACAAATTTAGGGGTCTTTCTATTCCCTTAAGATACCATTCACAGGTCAAGGGTCCCCAGTGCCCTTTATGTCTGACCTGCTGCCTCCCCCTACTCCCTTGGGCTCAATAATTCACTAGAATGATTCACAGAACTCAGGAAAAACACTATATTAACAATTATTGTTTTATTACAGCAAAAAAAATACAAATGAAAAGCTATATAGGGCAAGTCAGGGAGGATTCCCAATGCAGAGCTTCCATGTCCCAAAAAGGAATGCACTACATTGTCCATACTAGCCAGGAAAACCAGGGGGTATCTGCGTCCAGAGCCTTTACTGGGGCATCATTACAGAGGCAAAGGAGCTCTGGTGACGTAGTGCCTAAGGCATTTGACTGCTAACCAGAAGGTTGGTGGTTCAAACCCACCAGTCACTCCACAGAAAGAAGACTGGGCAATCTACTTCCTCAAAGATTTACTGCCTCAGGAAACCAAAAGGGGTCACTACAATTCAGAATCAATGGCAGTGAGTTTAGAGTTTTTGGGTTTTTTTTTTTTTTTTT